ATGGTCTCCCTGGTCTATTTACCATGGTTTCCCTCCTCGCCGACAAACCTGGAGAGCACGATGCCGTTGAGCATCAAGACCAGACCCCAAAGGAAGAGCCGATGTTGAACCCACAAGCCCTGAGCTCAGTAGCAAGACTTCATCGCCCTCTCCAAGTGCACGGCCTGCGCCTCATGGAGCTAACAGAACGAGAGTCCAGCGTCATGCGCGTCTCGGAGATCGAGGAGTTTGCTGGGCGAGACCCAGTCATCAAGGCGTTTGGCACTTTTGGACAATCGTGTGATATGGCAGTGGGTGGACAGATTGCGGTGGTGCCTGATCACAGCTTTTCAGGCACGTTATTGTCCCGCGCCAGGGATATCAAGAGTGATCTTGTGTTGGTGCCTTGGTCTGAGACCGGAACATTGTCCGAGTACCCTAGCTTGTTCGACGCAAAGCCAGGTGATCCGCTAGCGAACAAACAATTTGCAACACTTGCAGCAGAGATCTTTGAACAGGCCAGAACAACATGTCCCGTTGGTGTAATCCTGGACAAGACAGTCCTTTGCACGCCCTCTGGACCTTCCAAGATCGACTCTCCAGGACTTGATCGCTCAACACGACAACTAAACAAGACACTTACTGGAGTCAGTCTTGCAGATCAGATGAACTCGACCGTCCAATTCAGATCGGCGGAAAGTGGACGGACGCGTCTCTTCGCTCTTTATCAAGGCGACAGTGAAGATGATCTCTTTGCCGTACGCCTCGCTTTGCAATTAGCCAAGAATCACAAGGTTGATCTGAAAATCCTGAACGCAAGGGTTCGACACGACAATGCAGATGTTGGTCACCACGCTGCAGACACCAGTCATGATGACAAGACGGCCCCTCTGTCGAAGGTGCACACTCTCCGGACACCCACTGATTTTGAATTCGACGCCCTCCGGTCAAGCATCGCGGATTGCGGCTTCGACACGAGAGTGACAGTCGTGGACGTGCCTTTATCAGGTCTGGAGGCACTTGTGACAGCGATTTCCGAGCCCAGCCCTGCGGAGACGCTGGTGATCGTTGGGCGCAGCACTTTCTATTCCAAGTCAGCCAACGCCATTTTCAGTACCAGCACTGCGGAGTCATCGATGTCCAATTCGATGGTTATCTCCAGTGGTAGCGGACCGAACTCTGCACGCGACGATAGTCAGGCTTTGGGTCCCCTAGCCACGCAACTCATTAAAGTCGTCCGGGAGAGACAATTACAGACTGGATTACTTGTGGTCCAGGCCCGGAACGAGCGTGCGTTACAAAGCCCTGACGCATTTGGAGGATTCGGAGCACCGCCTAGTCCAACAGACGCGAGGAGTCTGAAAGGAGCGGCATTGGCCAAGAAGATAAGCGCTTTGAGTGATGACGATTAGGCGCCGTTGTTCTCCTGGCCTCAGCTGCTATAACGAGCCGTTACGATTCCATCTCACTTAGCCGCATATCTCTGAGCGTTCACAGGACAGTTTGGGTATATGACCAGGGACATCTATGTACGTCGGCCATGTGAGTCGACGAGATTTCAGACGACCAGTTAGATAATATTTACGAGCTCAATCTGTATGGAGTTGAGAATAAGATAAACCAGGTATTTCGAAGAGAAGTGGTTCGAATAGAATATTGATGAATGGCTATGACTTGGTATGAGAGAACAACAGTCCACCATGACGTGTCCTGCCTAATGTATCTTGTCTCCTGGTACGTGAACTCGTATGCTGTGGTGGACCTCCTTGTACAAGTACATCCATTATGAGTCAGTGACAAGGGGCTTGGACGTGATTCGAGACTATCCGATATGACGTTAATACATACAAGTATACAAGACGTGGTAGGTAGATACAGGTACAGGTACAGGTATAGGTACAGGTTCATTCATCGGGGAATGACGTGGGCCACAGGAGCATAAACAGATTCGATACGATACGAGGTAGTACCGAGTAAGAAGTAGGGAAATACTGTAAATCGCTCAGTCCTTTTGTCCTCGGTCGCTTCGCGGAACGCTCAAGATTGTTTTCATCCAAGGGGGGGTTACTGTTTTGCTTTGTTTTGTTTGTGGGAGTGAGTATAACTGGGCACAGCTGTTGATGGATGGATGGATGAATGGATGGAATGGATTATAAATAGCAAATCGCTGGCGAAATGTTTCTCATAAACCGTCATGTGCCATGGGCATGGGGTGCTGATTTGGTTTCGACGACGACGACGACATACTCACACAGAAAGAAAACCAAATCTGCCCCCCTCCTCTCTCCATCGACAGGTCTTGGTTCTTCTTCCCACACAACACCGCCTGGTCTCTCAGATGCCCTTCTTGAGGAGTTCCGTGCTTGTATGGTAAAACCGACACCTCCGTCACAGAACGACATCGCGCTTTCTCGCGCTTCCCTTCTGACCATTACATCTCCGCTCTACTACCGTCCCACGCGAATTACACCCGCGGCAATCAACTTTTGAACCTTCGTGCGAATTCCAGGGTTCTTCATGTGTTCGTTCAGTGCTGCCGGATCGGACTTGGCTTGTTGCAAGATGGATTGCATGACCGGATCGGAAAGGATTTGCACTGTGCAGGAAAAGAAGAGGTGGTTAGCTATCAATTCATACAAGGTGGCGAGTGTGGAAATGGTGGATGTGTTGAAAGCAGCCTGTGATGGGAGTTGGTGGGCAAGGGGTTCACACTTACTGATTTCAGGGTCTTTCTGGATTCTCGCGCTCGTCTCTTCTTCCGTTTCTCCCTGGCGAGCGGCGTACATTGCTTCCAGGGCCTTGGATTGCTGCTGTTCAATTTCTCGGGCGTTCTTACCGTCTTCATCATGTTCCATGGCTTCCGTACACACATCCAGGCACTTGTTGTATTCCTTCATGCCAAACAAAGCTTGAGCTTTCCGGAGGTATGCTTTGATGAATTTGGGGTCACGTTTAATGGCCTCGTCGCAGTCTTGGATGGCAGTCGGGAAGGCAAGGAGTTTGATTAGTGCCGCAGCCCTGTTTGAATATCCTCGAGGGTCATCCGGTGCACGTTTGGTGAGTTCAGTGTAGGCTTCGACAGCACCTGGCCAGTCTCCATTTTTGAACTTCTCGGCTCCCAACAGACGCGCTTCTTCTGCCTTTTCTGGGTCGATATATGCGTCCTTCTCGGCTTTGATCTGAGCCTTCTCGGCAGCCTTGAACTTCGCCAAGATTTCAGGCGTGCGATGTTCAGTGAGAGATTTCTGGTAGTTGATCAGGGCTTTGGGCAAATCACCCAGTTTCTCATAAGCAGATCCAATGCGGCCGAAGGCTTTGGCGATAATCTTGAAGTCGGCGAGCATGGCGCGGCCTTCCTCAACAGCCTTCTCACAGGCCTCAATACACCCTTGGTAGTCACCCTTTTCAAATTTGGCCGCGCCGAGGTTGGTTAGGTAAGTTATATCCTTGTGCAAGTCCCAGGCTTTTCCGTAGTGTTCAATAGCTTCGTCGAATTTTCGCTTCTTGTAACTTTCTGTCCCAAGTTTCTTTTCGTTCTCGGCCTCTTCTTTCGCCTTCTTCGCCGCGATAGCCTCTTCGTCTTCGGGCTCAGGTTCGGGTTCGGGTTCGGGCGCCTTCTTCTCGGCTTGCGGTGGAGGCTTGGACTGAGGCCGGGCATCCGGCATGGGAACGTCCTCTTCTTCTTCTGCGGCTCTCCGCGCATCAGAGGGGCCACCTTCCGGCGGCATACCCATCTGCATGTCGACACCCAGTAGTACACCCATGACCTCGAGGAATCTGGGGTCGGCGAGTTCCTGACCCATCTCTTGAGGGTTCTTTGCCAGTCGCTGCAACTTGGCCATGAATTGAGGGTCTGCAAGGTATTTCGATGTCTTTGGATTGCTTGCGAGCTTCTGGATGAGCTGAGGATCGTTGAACATGTTGCCCAAGCCACCCAAATCGGCACCATCTGCACGGGCTTCCGCCTCAATGGCTCTCTCGACAGCCTCGAGGCCTTGCCGGGCTTGAGTGTTGGAAGGTTCGAGCTTCAAGGCCTCTTCGAATGCATCCTTTGCACCGACGAGATCACCAAGACCGTGCTGCGCAGCTCCTTTTCGACCCCAGCCTTTTGCCCAGTCGGGCTTGAGTTCTGTCGTCTTGTTCGCGTCGTCAAGGGCTTTCTGGTACTCTTTGAGAGAAGCATATGCACCGGAGCGGTTGGAGTAAAGGACATGGTTCGTGGGATCTAGTTCAATAGCTTGAGAGAACTTGTCACTGGGAACAAAGAGTCAGTCAACTCATCAGGGTCCATGTCATGGGCTGAGCACTCACACGGCAGTTTTGAAGTCTTTGGCCGCAAAGGCCTTGTTGCCCTCGGCCTTCAGAGCGTCGGCCATGGATAGGATGGAATTAAGTAGTCAAAGTAAAGCAGGTTGAAAGGAAACCGGTGGTTCAGGTAGGGTAGGAAGATGAGACACAGGTGTTGCAGAGTAAGAACTTCTCGTTGTACACACGATCGACTGAGCCTGAAAATGAGTTGGAGAAATCGACAGCCTGATGTACTTCTTGGTTCGTCAAATGCGGGCAGCGAACAGAATTGCTAGAAAATTCGGTGCACGGGCCACTACGGAGAAGCACTGCAGGGACCTCAGGTGAGGTTTCCAGAAGGCTAGAAGCCTAAAAGTGCCTAGAGCGCAATCATCTGCTCCGCCCGCACCGGCACCTGGGTGGCAGCCTCGTCTTGCCTGGAGCAAATCATTTCGCAGCCTGATTGAATACCACGACCCCCGCTATTCCGCATCCTCCTGCGCCAAAATTTCCAGAATAGATTGTTCACACAACTCCATCCTCAGTTCCACTTTTTGACACACTCACTTCACGCACCTGCAAAATTTCTCCTAGTATGTCGCGGTGACATCCAATTTGTCCTCGTCCTCCTTCTTACTCACTCTCTTGGTCAGCGGCCTCTTTGCTTGACCCATCATGTACACAGATCTCTACCCCCATCGGTAGCACATCTCCCTCCAAGCCATTGCTTCAAAATGGCGCCTCCAAAGACAGCCCCCGCCCCCGGTCCCGGTCCTTCGACGGTCGGCCCTGTGCGAGATCGCACTGCTGAGGCTCTTCATGCTTGGTGCTGTCAAAACTACGAATACGGCTATGTCTTCTCCCAAACCGAACTGTTGGGTGCCGGAGTCATCCCCAATCAAGATCTTCAAATCCTCCTCTCCACCGTCGAATACCTCACGAAAAACTCGCTCTTCCGTGTACATGATAGGGTGGGCGGTGGTATAGGCTGGGAGCTGGTAGACCCAGATGTAGCAAAAGAGTAATACTACACCAACTTGCAGTGTCTGCTCAGGTCCTGACTTTTACAGCTACGCCAACCTCAGTCGCAATGAGCAAATCGTGTTGCAGGTCATCGAAGGCGCGAAGTCGTCCGGGATGTGGACAAAACAGATCCAGTCCAAAACTGCCCTCCATGGGAACATCCTGGAAAAAGTCTACAGGGTCCTTGAGGGAAGAGGTCTGGTCAAGCAGATGAAAAGTGTCAGCCACCCATCGCGGAAGATGTACATCTTGGCCGGCTTGACACCTTCTGAGGATGCAACGGGCGGCTCTTGGTTCTCCGAAGGACGACTTGATATCGGACTGATCGATACCATCTCCACCGTCATCGAGCATTTTGTTTCTACTCAAAGCTGGCAAGAGGTCAAGCCTGATGAAATGGAAGAACATCCAGGTTCAAAACGCAAACGACCCAGTAGTGGTTTTGAAGAGCACGGGGATGATAGAGGCAAATTGGTCAAGACTAACGAGGGGCAGAACAATAAAGCCAGGACTTCCAAGCACCAAGCGGCTCCTCAGAAAACGTACAGGCCGTTCGGTCTGGGCCACAAGTCCTATCCCACCCTTGAAGATATCACGAGGCATATCCTCAATATCAAAGTCACAGGGTCTATGCTACCTCAAAATGCCATTGCACAATTGCTTCAGGTCATGGTCTATGATGATCGCCTCTTCAAGCTCCATCGGCCTCCTCATGGCAACGAGCTCCCTGACGACCATATTACCAACACCGTTACCATGTACCGCTGCTTCAAAACTCCACAGGACATTACCGAACGACTCCAACTTGACAAGCGCAAAGTGAGCCACCACGACGACGTCAGAAAAGCCGCGTATCGGCAAGAGGAGTTGGAGAGATTAGGCGCAGGAGGGACGAGTGAAGTGCCTTGTTTAAGGTGTCCTTCGTTTGACATCTGTGGTGATGGTGGCCCAGTGAATGTGATCACTTGCAAGTATTTCGATGAGTGGTATGACCGTCTTGAAGAAGCAGACAAGTGGAAACCGGAGAAGGAACGAGGAAAAGAGATGACCAAGGAGCGGGACAAGGCCAAGGGAAAAGATAAAGAGCGGGCAACGGTCAACGGCGATCGAGGGCCCCGTGTCGACATCGAGCTCGAGTCGGAGCCTTCATAGCACAAAGCTCCATTCTCGTGTCGGGTCGAGCTCCCGAGTCTCACCATCTGCCTCTCCGCGACCGACAAAGAGGAGCTACGAGTGTTTCGATGGCCCCTGCTGCTCAGATACCCATGCCTACTTTTTTGACTTTCGCCAAACGAGATGGCGCAATTGAACGGACCAAATAACAGAAAAGGAATGATGGAATCGTATGACAGCGTGTTCATATTCTCTTGAGAGAAAGCGTTTCATAGTAATCAAAACAATCAAGTCCTACACTACAGCATCTATCGCCTGACTGCGGTTGGCAGAGGTGTTCCGAACATTGCGCTTGGTAACCCGTTCTCGTACTCGTACATCAAAGTATCTCTCTGTCTTTCTCTTCCCCTTTCTCTCTCTCCATTGAGCTAGCCAGTGCCTATGTATTCTGTTCTTGATATCCGGTCCACCCTGGTCTTGCTTGCAGACGAATCGAAATTCCCGCGACACCACGCACAGATGTACTCGGTCGGTCGGTCGGTAGATGGTAGAGAGTGGTAGGTAGGTGCCTTTGTAGATAGAGCTTGGCGGAGGCGAATCTTGTTCATCGATGAATCGCATCTTGTCGAGAAAAATCAAGATGGGTGGAAGGTGGAAGGTGGTAGGTGGTGGTACATAGTATGTACAGTACATGCGAAAACAAAACCCTCTGTCCCAGACTGGGAGGGAATCAAACAACGGTTTCTCCTCAACGTACTCGGTACCTCGTTGTTGTGAGCGAACAAGCTTGATAGCTGGTAGCGCCGACCGACTCTGATGATCCTGTCAAACTCATCGTGTCTATCGGCGTATCGTGTACGAGGTATTTTCTTCTTATCAGCTGGGACCATCACCTAACCTCACGCTTGCTGCTCCACTCGCCAGTGCCGAGCTGCCGCCTGTTCTCTCCAGCTCTCTCCTCCTGCTTGCTTTTGCCACAAGGCCACCAGCTCCGTCTCTCTCTTCCGCCTTTTCCTCCTTGTCTAGCCGCTTGGCCTTCAATTCCTCCTCGACTTCATCCCTCCAACCCTGAATGTCTTGCGGTATGTGTTTCATCTGGACGCTCGGGGCGCCGCGGATCTCTGTCAATTGGTCCCTCACGTGTCGTATGATCTTTTCCACGTCCTGCCGTGAGACCTGGTTCTCTTTTTTCCAGCCAGCGAGATTGGGGAACAGAGTGAAGCCTTCTTTCCGAAAAGCTTCACGGTACGGCAAGAACTCTGGTAGCTGCGGATTGAGCGTGTGATCTGCACCAGTGCAGATGGATGTCTCATGTGCCCATGCCCGTGCGACGTTTCGCGGGGTATAACCGCCACCACCCACGACCAATAAAGGAATCTGAAAGGATTTGACAAATGAAACGCACCTGCCGTGGCCGCTAATGTTGAGGTTGAAACACCCCAGGCGATCATGACCGAGGGAGTCGGCGCCGCACTGGAGTACGATGGCCGAGGGGCGGTAGGTCTTGATGGTGGGGTCGACGACACTGCGGAAGAGGTAGTCGTAGGTATCGTCGTCAATGCCGTCCTTGAGTGGAACATTGATGGTATAATTTTTTCCTGGATTGTCTGGGTGGATCGGTCCCGTGGACTCCAGCGGACCGGTTCCAGGGAAAAACGTCTCCTTGTCGTATTTGTGGAATGACACACACATGACACGGTCAGTGGACCAGAATGCTTGTTCTACACCATCCCCGTGATGCACGTCGATATCGATGTACAGGACACGCGGATGGTAACGGAGCAGTTGAAGAATGGCGAGTACAATGTCGTTGACGTAGCAGAATCCGCTAGCCTCAGCCTTTTTAGCGTGATGCAAGCCGCCAGACCAGTTGATGGCGATATCGGATTGTTTGTGACAAAGTTTGCGCGCAGCGTCGATGGACGCGCCTGCGTAGGTCGAGCAAAATTCAAAGACGCCATCGAAAATAGGACAATCGTCCCCGACACCAAAAACGGCGGAAGAGTGGCCTTGTGGTCCCGTTGAAAGTTCGGGGTACAATATATAGATATTGTTAGGGGTGGCGACCTTGAGGAAATCGACATAATCTTCCCTGTGGAATGCTCTGATCTCTTGTTCGGTGGCTGGACGTGAGGTAAAACAGTCCATGGCCGTGTGCATGCCGTAAGACAGGACGAGGGATTTTGTTAGGGTTAGACGCCAGGGCTTCATAGGATGGGTTTGGCCAAAGTGATGATTCTCCACGGCAGGGTTATGATGCCATGAGACAGTGTACCCTTTTGGGCGGGCGATGCCGTTGGCTTCTACCTCGCGTTGGATTTTGGCGGAGAGAGTAAAGGTGGGAGTGTGGTTGGTTGACGAGTGGTCTTGATATTCCTCCACGATAGCCATGGTGTAAGAGTTGTTGGAGAGAGCGTGATGTAGAAGTGTTATGGAAAGATAGAGGACGGTGATCCGGTTTTGCTCAAGTTCATGACGCGATCAACAGAATTTGGTGATCTCAGCGCCCATGGGATACTGCCTTGAACCCGTCGCCAGACTTTATGGCAGGAAACTGAGGAGCGCAATTATCCTTCTTTGATGGTTGGAATCTCCGGTCTGAGGCGAGTCAACTTATGAGCGCGCGAGTTCTCGCGCGAGTTCCGAGGATGATTTGAGGACAGAAGACAGTAAAAGGATCATGAAGAGGCTCAGCGGGAGGCAAGGCTGAGAGAGAATCGAGAATCGAGTCGAAGTTCCAGAATCTCCGAAGACTTTGACGTTGCGCGTAACTTGCGCCACCGCACGCTAACCCATAACAAGTTTAGCCTTGTGTCTTTCTTAGTCATCAAATTCAAACTCTGGTTGTCGTCTGCTTCGCTTGTCCTAAATGTTTGACTACACTTTCTGGTTTCATTCATCACTTATGTGACAACCACGTCGGATATCATCATAATGACTGCTAGACAGACAACTTCAGAATCTGTGAATGAGTGAGAGGCAATAAAATCGAGGTCTGACCATAATTGTGGCTCATCCCTGCCCTGTTCTCCGCCGAGAAACCGCGAAGCCACCACACATTCACCAGAACCTGAGATCCTCATCTTCCACCCATCCACTACTTCCAGACCCCATCAAAGTCGTCGCAGATGGCATCAAACGAGGATTGCGCGTCAGTGCTAGAGCAATTCATTCACGATGCGGCGAACTTACCAGCCGAGATTACCCACATGATGGAGGAGATTCAGGCCAAGGACAAAGACCTACAGAAATGTTTGTCCATCATCAATCAAAAGGACACCAACATCCAAAAACATCTCAGACTTAACGGAGTACTCGCTCCACATCCCAAGGAGAACGAGTATGTTGACCTAGTCAAAAAGAACTACGAGATGTGCCATGGACTTCAGGGACAGAAAGTCGCCCTGAGTGAAAAAGCATGCACCCTGTTGGAGCGGCAGGTCAAGAAACTGGATATGAAGATTCGAGAATTGCAGAGTGATGGCCAACTAGTCGACGGCCCGCCCTTACCAAGTGTTTTCAACCGCAAGGCTGAGACACAAAAGCCCTTTGTTGACCTACCCACCAATTTACCTCTACAGAACGCGTCGATTAGTGCTCTCAACACAAACGCACACAGAATCAACGCACATATCTCCGCGACCATGCAACAGGCCCAAGCTAGGCAATTGCCGCAAATCACGACTGGAAGCACACCTGTCCAACGGAGCTCTGCACCAGCTACACCTGCTTCGGCCGTTCAACAACAGCGTCAACGAGAGCGAGAACACTCCCAAGGTGCCGAGACCAAGCGACGGAAATTGGGAGGCCCACTTCCAGGCACGACCCTTCCTGCCCAGCCGTCCGGTCTTCGACAATCCTCCCTCGGCCCAGGCACTCCAAAAGCAGGGACACCTACAGGCACAGGTACAAGCCGAGCCGGGAGTATGCCTCGATCCGTAGGCGCACAAGTATCAGCTGGACCTCCCAAGAAGTCAGGCCTCTCCAAGAAAGTCATCTCACATCAGCAAGTCAATAAGCTCAAGCAAAAAGGCTCAACTAAGGGAAGGCTATCTGCTGGGCGCAAAAAGGGACAATCGCCGTCAGTGCGGGGAGGGCGTGGCGGCACGGCAGCCTCAGAAGATGCAGACTCTGTACTATCATCCGCAGACGCCTCCGAAACCGATGCCTCTCAATCGAGGGGAAGGCGAGGAAATAAGAAGCAACAACAAACTGCATCAGAAGAGCCCGACGGTGATATGGGCGAGGATGAAGAAATGGAAGATGAAGAAGGAGAAGACGACAAGCGCTACTGCTTCTGCAACCAGCGCAGTTACGGGGAAATGGTGGCTTGTGAGAATGACGAGTGTCGCTACCAGTGGTTTCACACGGGCTGTTTGAACATGAAGAAAGTTCCAGACGAGGACGAAGACTGGTACTGTCCGACATGCAGGGAAAAGCCAGAGATAATTGAAAAGGTCAAGATCAAGAAGAAAGCTGGCAGGAAATAGGTGAAACCTCGATATCTTGGAATATTGTAATTCTCAGAAATCAGGCACTCCGGCTCCGTTGGTGTCATACATAATGATAGGATGTTTTCCATATGACCTACACCCTCTGCCGCGTCACAAAAGATAGCTTCTTGTGCTATGTACAGTCTGTCATTGTTCAGAAGACGATTGGATCCAATGCCCGCCTTCGATCTTGCGTCCCTAGCGAGCAGCAAAAAATGCGATTGGTTGCACAGTGAGCAGTTCTGATAGCCGTACAACCACAAGATCGCAAGGCCCTCTTGCGCAATCAGTGTTCACCTACGAGCACATACGAGATACTCGTAGGTCCACAGAAGCGTATCTCCCTATGCCATCAATCGGCAAACAGTCCTGGTCCTGCTGAAGAACGAGCTAGCTCCAACGCCGTGTATCACTGGGGCACAAATTTCCTTCTGTTTCCTCTAGTTTTCCCACACGTGGGATTGAAAAGCCCGAAAGGACGGGACTCGAATTGCTAGGGCAGTCCAAGCTGGACGACTCGTATCTTCGCAAGGGGATGGCGGAAAG